CTGGATTATATGAAGAAAAACCTGGCATCAGGATCGGAGAAAGATTTGTTAACAACCTTATTTGCTGAAAGTAAAGAAGACTTAAAATACTGATGAAGATCAAAGACCACAGCCTTCAGTATAGGTTGTACTTTAATGTAAAGAAAACAACGATCATCACCACCAGACCAATAAATAACATCAGGATAAATGGAGAAAAGATTGAAGTTATCAAAGACTCCATTTTGCTTGAATCCAGTATAACTCATGGAAGCAGCAGTCAAGCAATCAAATGACGTGTTGCCTTAGGCAAATCTGCTGTAGAAGACCTCTTTAAAGTATTCAAGAACAAAGATGGTAATTTGAGGACCAAGGTAAAATGGACTCAAGCCATGATATTTGCAATATCATCATATGCCCATTCCAAAGAGAGGTGAACAATGATTAAGGAAGACCATGGATGGACTGATGTATTTATGTTATAGTGTTGGAGAAGAAATTAAAAGTACCATGAATTGCTAGAAGATAAAAACAAATCTGCTGGAAGAAGTAGAGTCAGAATATTCCTTAAAAGCCAGAATGGCAAGGACTTTGTCTCTCATATTTTGAACATATAAGGAGTGACCAGTCTGTGGAGAAGGACATCTTGCTGGAGAAAGTGGAGGGTCAGCATAAAACAGGAAGTCCTCCCAAAGATACATTGGCACTGTGACAGTAGCAATGGACTCAAGTTTAACAACGATTGTGAGGATGGCACAGGACTGGACAGTGTTTCGTTCTTTTGGACATAAGGTCATTATGAGTAGGAACCAACTCAGTAGCACCTAACAACAAGTCTTTATGGGTTTCCTATTTCCTGCCTTGGTGTGATGTATTGATTTTCTTTGAGGTTACTCTGTAATTTACTAATTTTTTTCCTGTTTAAATCTTGAAATCTACTTCACTCCCTCACTATTTTGAAGTTTTGTATCTTACACTAGTCACTCTTTTTGCTTTGTAGTTGACTTCATTATAAATTAATATTTCTGGTTCCTTATTTTCAGTCTTGTAAGTTTGTTTTACTTGAAATGCTTCTATACCTAGATTGAGTTCTGGAGGGTGGTGTCATATATGTTAATCTCAGGTTGTTGTCTACTGGTGTTTGTTCCCAGTTCAAAGAGCACCCATTAGTATTTTTTGTAAAGTTGGTCTGGTTATTACAAATTCCTTTTTAATTTCTATTTTTCAGGAAATATCCTGATTTCATCAGTATATTTGAGGGATAGCTTTGCTGGGTATATATGATTCTTGGTTGGTAGTTTTTTTCTTTCATAATTTAATATATGTCATCCCATTGCCTTCTTGCCTGCATGGTTTCTGCTCAGAAACCAAAGTTAAGTCTTACTGGTTCTTCTTTGTAGGTAACTTTTTGGTTTTCCCCAGCTGCTCTAAGGATTCTTTCTTCATCTTTGGTTTTGTATTCAACAAAAGGAGAGTTTGAATACGATATATGTTGGTGATTCTATTTTGGGATCTATCCTGTATGGGGTTCGTTCAGCTTCTTTGTTTATCTTCTCATTTTTCATGATGTTAGGGAAGTTTTATTCCAACAACTCCTTGTGCCTTTTTATTGACTCTTCCTGTTCTGGAATTCTGATCATCTGTAAGTTATTCCTCTTCATCGTGTCCCACATAACTCTTAGGCTTCCTTTGAATTTTTTTTTTTTTTAATTCTTTTTTTCTGATTGCTCTTATATAGACTACTACTAGTATTAAGAGATTTATCTTTAAGCTAATTAATTCAGGCTTCCATTGCTTCACATCTACTCCTTTACCCTTCCAATGTATTGTCCACATCAGAAATCTTAGTATTAATTTTCTGGGTATCTAATTGCAGATTTTAGATTATTTTAAAATTTGCATTTATTTTGTCTGTTTGTTCTTGTCTTGTTTTTCTGGATTCTTCTAAAGGTTTTTCTGTGTTCTTCTTACTTTCCTCCATGTTTTATCACTCCTTTTGAGGTACTTAATATTCTCTTGAATTCTTTTTTAATTAGTTCCATTAGTGTTCTTCCTCAGAAATGGTTTCTGTTTTTGCATCTCGGTCATTTGTTTGAATCATTCTCTCTTGTTCCTTTGTCTGAGCTAAAATTGTCTGTTGTCTTGGGACATTGTGCTGTTGTCATATTTAATTGATGATTATATGTTCATAGGCCCTCACTATCTTTCTCCTGTAGGTGTAGTTAGAGAATGGAATCATGTGCACGATTCTCCGTTCACTCACTGTTCATGTACCGCAGTTTAGGATGGGTTGACTGGTGTTAGCTGTATATCATTGAGCAGGTGCTATAGGAGCTGGTATTGGCTCTTGCCTAGTGGGAAATGCTGCAAAGGGTATGGATGTGGCTGGGTTGTGTGGGCACTGTTGTTGTTTCATGTTGGGTGGGAAAGAGATGAAAATCTCCCTTTCCCCCAACCAAAACACACAAGAAAACAAAACACAACAAACAAGTAACCAACATTGAAAAGAGAAAATAATAAATGATAAATGAGAAATAAAAACAGGAAGCAACCAGAAAAAAGAATATAGTAACTAAAAAGAGAAATGAGGGATAGGAAAATAGAGATATAGAAGCAAAAAAATAATAGAGAAAATAAAAGGAAAAAAAAACTCTTTAAGAAGAACCAGGGAGAAGGAAGATGAAAAGAGAGAGAGTAGAGAGTAGTAAAGAAAGGTCAAAAGAAAAAAAGAAGGGGGGAAATGAGAAACAGAAGACATTAAGGACAAACAAAAGTAGAGATAAAAAGGAGAAAATTCAGGGGAAGAGCTAGCAAAGAAGAAAGGAGAAACAAACAAAAGCAATGACACAACAAAAGGAAATAAACAAACAGTAAGCTGTTGGACCTGAAGAGGAGAGAACTCTGGGGGCTCTTCCCAGCCAAGAAGTTCATGAGGTGGGTACAGAAAGGGATGTGACAACGAAGTTTCTGGCCATAGATGGGTTCTTTATAGGCCTCCGTGTTGTCTAGGCTCAGGGCAGTCAATCTGGAAGTAGTTAGTGGAGGCCCTCAATGAAGCTGTTTTCAAGGTTTATTAGGACCACAGGGCACTGGGAGCAGGGTGACTAGTTATGAGGGTTTCTGCTAGACTTATTGGGGGTCTGGTGGCTCTGTGGGTTTGTTAGGTCTGCAGCTAATCCTGCCTGAATCCAGTCACCAATGTGGTGTTGCTGGCCCCGCCTCACGGGCATGGCTCACGAACATGTGAATCCAGACTCTCTGAGAGTAAGGTCTGAGCTGTGGGTGGATGAATTGGGGATCTGGCCACACCTCAGCTCACCAGCGGAGCACAGGGAAAAGAATGAATTACACCTTTCCTGTCACCTGTGTATCTGCTTTGCCAGGCCACCTTCTGTTGCCAAGACTGCTTACAAAAGTTCATGGTGGTCACACCTCACCTGGCAGGCCATTCGCCAATCAGTGCCCTTCTCTCGAAAATCCACCTTTTTGGCCTAATCTCCTTGGTTTCCTCCATAGCTATCTCTCCTCTGTTCCTCTGAAGGCTTTAGAGAAGAATCCTTTCTTGCCTCTTCCTAGTTTCTGGTGGCTTCTGGCAATTCTTGGCTTGGGTTGACTTGTAGCTGCATCATACAAACTCTGCCTTCCTCATAGCATGCCCATATTCTCCCTGTGTATATCTTCCTCTTTCAAGGAGACCAGTCATGGATTTAGGGCCCACTCTAACCCACTATAACCTCATCTAATTACATCTGCAAAGACCATATTTCCAAATAACATCACTGTCAGAGGTTCCCAGTACACAGAGGGCCAAACTGTTGTATTAGCATGAGGAGATCTGGTAAGGAGTCAAAGACTGGTTGAGAGAATAAAGGCAAACATGACAGATTCTTGGTCTCTCCCATAGATACTCATGTCTGCTTCTACATCTAACTGCCATATTGTAGTTTGTTGTTGTTATTGTTCTTGAGTGCCATCAAGTCAATTCTGACACTTAGCAATCCTGTATAGGGTTTCCAGGGAGCAACTGTTGGGGTTGAACTGCCCACCTTGCAGTTAGCAGTCCAGTGCTTATTCTACAGCACCACACCATTTTGATTTCTTCTTCATAGTTATAAATCAGATGCTTTCTTTGACTTCCCTTATTCTTACCATGCCTTTATTTGTATTTTTACTTTTAACTTTAAAAAGTATTCCTCGAAACAAGTACTGTTTAAGTAACAATGTCCATAAGTAACCAAGTTCTCTCCCTTCATGCTGGTGTTACTGCTTCCATCCATTCATTCAGGGTCTCATCCCTTCATACCTGTTTTGTTGCTACATTCTCTTTACTGATTTGCCTGCCTTAGTCTTTAAAGATGTCCCCTGTTTATTTGCCTTCTACTGCTAGAGCAGTCTTCCTGATCTGCTTTCTTTACTCAGGAATCTCTCAACTTTGCATAATCAGTTTAGTTTTAGATACTTAAGGCTTCCCATAGATTCTCACCTGCTCTGTCTTTTGCCTTTGGAATTGGGCTCTAGCAAAACTGGCTTATTTTCTACTGGCTTCCTATGACTACAAATCACCAGTCCTCCTTTTGCACCCTGAGATCCCCTGACACTCAGGACTTGCTTTGGATTCCACCTCCAGTCTGTTCCATTCACTTGGCTCAATAAATCCCTGGAGCACTGATATGTACACCCTTTGGTTAATGTGTGTGTATGATTGTAGAGAGGGAGGACGTGGGAGTGTGTAAAAGCGTACTGTATATGTTACTGTTGTCTTCTAGCTGAGGTAAACCCTCGCTGTGCTCCTGGTTTCTAATGTTTCCTGTGTGTGTAGGAACCCCTCATTGCTTGCACAGCTAGTTGACAATGTGACTTGTTAGAATTCCTGAAAGTTGTAAAAATTCACCTCTGGTGGGTTCTCCTGATTGACTCTTCAGTCTGTCCGATGACAACCTCTTGTGATATCTCTTCTGCTGCTCTTGATCCTTCCTTTCACAGAGCTAATGCTTAACTTGCCTTTTTACTTGTTTTCTCAGCCCGTGCCCCGAATCATGGTGCAGTCTGCCTTCCCAGACATTGGGGTGACCCGGATGGAAGAGGTAAGTCAGCCTGCTCGCTGGTGGTACCTTGGCTGGTGGCTGCCCCACATACAGTGGGTGGCCCTGGTGTTATAATTGCTTCTTCCACACCCACAGTTGTTTTTTTGTTTTTTGTTTTTTATTTTAACATTCCAGTTTTGATAATTAACTATAATATAGGTCACTGTCTTCTCCCTCTATATTTTCCTTGTTACACTTTTCTATTTTCAACTTGTTAATCATATGATTGCTAAACTTTTAGGTGCTTGACTGCTAATGTAGTCTGCTGCTTTAATAGCCCACTGCTAGGCAAAGGAGATTTCTATAAACAGAACAATCTCCTTATTCAAAGTGTTTTGCTTAATTCTCAGTTTTACATTTCATTCTGATTCATGATATCAGCGTGAAAAGACTAATGCTAAACTGGGGAGAAAATAGTCTCTTATGATCTCCCACAGATCAACAGCACTTCTAATCTTATGAATAGCAAATCTATTTTCTCCCACTGTGCTTTCATTCTCTTAGGAAATGCTATATCTTCATAGGAAAATTTTATTTATTAAAACAACAGTTTTTTTTAAAAAAAAAGGCCAGTGATTTGAATAATTATTCAGACCTCCATTAATTCCACTTATTCCTAAAAGACCCTCTTTAATCCTTGGTATGTATTGTAGATAGGACTGGTTGGTGGTTGGCAGGTGGTCCTTCCTTCCCTCTAGGAATAGTGTTTGCCATTTTGCGGAGGCAGGAATTTCCTTCGTGAGCTCCAAGACCAGTGGGTGAGAGTGAGAGCCAAGTCCCTTGCTGGTGAGGTCACCTGGCTCCGCACAGCACATACAGCACAGGGCAACTTTGCTATTCATGTGTTGGTGTCCCCAAGAAGTCTCTGGAAATGCCCCTCTCAATAAATAGGGGATAATCCAAAAATGACAAGTAGCTTCAACTCACATGTCAACTCTAGTCAAGTGGGAGCAGCTGACTGGGGTGCTGGATAGGGCAGGTTCTAAGGCTGCACTTGGGCTCTGCAGGAAAGAACACTGTCTGTCATCTTTGATGTGTTCCACTAGTCACTAGGTCTGACCCCTAAACCTTGCTTTTTCAGTTACTCACCTCTCTGGTCTACTTTGTAAAATGAATATGATACAAGAGGACTTCAAAGAGTTTAGAAATATGGATTTAAAAGTTAATGGAGAGGACTTCCAGTTTGCCAGAAGGCCAGACGGCCTGGCCTCCCTTCTGCTATTGGAGGACTCTTTGTCTCCCTATTCTACACAAGAAGAGTCAGCAACTGCTGCCAAATAGCCAAGCTACATTCACACTGTATTAAACACCAAAACCCAGGCAATAACCAATACCAGCTACCAAGGAAACAGGCAGCACCTGTGAAAGTTAATCTGAGTCAAGCAATAAGATGAGTGAAAAGGGAAGACCACACTCTGACCACATCTTCCTGGAAGAAACCAGAAAGCATAAAAAAAAAGTACCAAAATACATACATACTCATTTAAGCAGTAGGGCCACAGATAAACATCAAACATGTCCAAGAAGCAAAAACAGATGACCATATCAGCACATGTCCAGAAAAAAGATAAAATATCTGAGACAAAGGACCCAGAAGTAGACCTGGACTCCATTCTGGAAGGAGGGCAGGCCCTGGAAATGCCTGAGAAAGAATTCAGAAAAATGATTATAAAATGTTTCAAAACACTTTACAATGGAGTTGAGAAAAATAAGGAAGAAGTCAGGAAAGTGCTACAAGAACAATCAAACAAGATATATACAGCATTGGAAACAATGCAAAGCCTACATAAAGAGGTATAAACAATCAAAAACAAAATGGCAGAAATAGAAAACACTCTGAAAGGGCAGAGGAGTAGAATAGATGAGATGGAAGGAAGAATCAGCAAGCCGGAAGACAAGTCTCTCAATACCACCAAGATAGAACAAACACAAAAAAAATTTTAAAAATTAGAGGAAGGTCTGAGATTCGTGTTGGACAACATGAAGAGGAATAACTTAAGAATTATTGGCGTTCCAGAGCAAGAAGAAACACATAAGTCCACAGAATAGTCGAAGAGCTACTAGAAGAAAAATTCTCCATCATACTGAGAAGTGAAAAAATTAACATACAAGAAGCTGAACGGATTCCAAGAAGAGCAGACCCCAAAAGAAAATCACCAAGACATATCATAGTCAAGCTCTCCAAACTTAAAGATAAGGAGACACTTCTGAAAGCAGTCAGAGAAGGCAGAAGGGTCACATACAAAGGCAAGCAAGTCAGATTAAGCTCAGCACTCTCAGCAGGAACAATGCAAGCGAGAAGGCAATGGGGAGACATATATAAAACCCTGGAAGAAAAAAACCGCCAACCAAGAATCCTTTATCCAGCAAAGCTATCAATCAAATATGATGGTGCAATCAAAACATTCCAGGATAAACAGAAGCTATGGGAATTCACCAAAGCCAATCCTGCACTACAAAACATCCTAAAGGGAGTTCTGTGGACTGAGAACCAACAAGAAGAGACAACAACCAGAGATTGACATATGTGGCAGCACCTCCCTGAATTAACTCAACAGAAAGAAGAATCGTTAACAAAACAAAATTATAAAAACAAACTCAGAGACTCTGGAAGGTCAGTCTATGACCAAAACAAATACAATGTAAAAGAAGGTAAACATATAGGAAAAGAGATCCAGATAGCCAGAAGGTCAGGTCAATTACAGGATAAAATAGCCTGTAGTAAATGCTCAGAAAAGCTAATGGACTATAAGACAACCTCAATGAAAATTAACACTTCACAACATACCAAGAGAATGAAAACTCAGGAAGAATATGAAAACATTAAAACTATGAGGAAACTAACAAGAAAGAACACAAAAATCCTGAATTCAACAAAGAAAGACAAACAGAACAAAGAAGCAGCAACACCACACACACATAAAAAATGTAATGACAGCAATGAATACCTATCGATAATTACACAGAATGTAAATGGATTAAATGCATCTGTTAAGAGACGGAGGGTGACAGAATGGATAAGAAAACAAGATCCTTCAATATGCTGCCTGCAAGAGACATATCTCACACACAGGGACAAAAACAGACTAAAAGTTAAAGGATGGAAAAAAATATACCAAGCTAATTCCAATAAAAAGCGAACAGGAGTGGCAGTACTAATTTCGGATAAAATAAACTTTAAGGCTAAAACCAGCATGATAGATAAAGATGGACATTATATCATGATTAAAGGAACAATTGAACAAGATGAAATAACCATATTAAATATCTATGCTCCCAATGAACGAGCGCCACAATATATAAAACGAACTCTTATAGAATTGAAGAAAGAAATAGATGAATCTACAATAATAGTGGGTGATTTTAATACACCATGATCCAAAATGGATAGAACAACCAGAAAGAAACTTGACAAAGACACAGAAGAACTAAACAACACACTCAGCCAACTGGAACTCATAGATGTGTATAGAGTATTCAACCCAACAACTGCACAATACACATTCTTCTCAAGTGCACATGGAACATTCTCCAGATAGACCATGTTTTAGGCCACAAAACAAATCTACATACATTTACAAATATCAAAATACTACAAAGCAACTTCTCAGATCACAATGCTATCAAATTAGAAATCAACAATCGGAAGACCAAGGAAATCAAGTCAAATACATGGAAACTGAATAACACCCTGCTGAAAAGCGACTGGGTAGTAGAAGAAATTAAACGTGAATTCGCAAAGTTTCTAGAAATAAATGAGAATGAAAACAACATACCAAAACCTTTGGGACACGGCGAAAGTGGTGGTGAGAGGACAATTTATTGCAATAAATGCACTCATCCAAAAAGAAGAAAGAACTAAAATTAACACATTAACACAACATCTACAACAACTAGAAACAGACCAACAGAGGGAACCTACACCCACCAAAAGAAAAGAAATAATAAAGATTAGAGCAGAAATAAATGAGATAGAAAACAGAAAAACTAT